GAAACTGTAAGGAAACTAAAAGGAAAATAAAGGAACTAAAACTAAAGGAACATGTAACTAAAGGAAACTGACCCATACATTTTTGTTTCGCTAGAGTATCACATTAACGTTACAGGTACTAAAGCGGTGTCTGTAAATTCTGACATTTTCTATTCCCAAGCAGGATTTGAGTTTTCCTTTCTTTCTGTTCATCTGAAATTAAAGTCGTTATTCCATTTAAATGTTACAGGACCTGACGAGTTCAGATCAAATTCACCCAGTAGAAGAAAGTTAGAATGTTATTTACACTAGACTTGACAAAGGTTCATGAGGTTTGTCTCATCGAACATAATGTTCCCAAGTTTGTTAGACATGAAAAAGGAGTGTCTTGGCATTCCTAAGTATAAGAGTATGTGTGCCAACAGTGTAAGTTACTTTTATCAGCTTTTTTTGCTTTTTTTTTTTTTTTTTGCATTCTACTCTTGCTGTATTTCCACAAGTTTTGATTAATACAAAGACTGCAATATAAGCATGACCTTTCCATTCCCTTCTTTCTTCCTTTTTCATAAGAGTCTCTTTTCTCCATTAGTAAACTCTGAAAGAGCCTCCCCTTCACTTGCAGCTGTCTCCCAAACGGCAATCATTTAGAACCGCTCGTCTTGCTCCTGGTCTTTTCTGCTACCTTACTGCATATGCATGGGAAAGGGCCAGAAATAACAGCACTGACCAATTTTTCAAGTACTCTTTCCTAAACTCAAATAAAAACCCTAATATTCTTCCTCAAACTCTTTAGAGCAAATACTGTGTATTATCAAGGTCATTAATAATACAGCAGCTGCTGGAGAGAGATTTTACTACAAATCAGAGGGAGGGGTAGAAGAAATACAGACAGATGTTATGCTACTGAGTCCTCCCTTTTTATTGCACTGGATCAGTGACCACAACGACTACCACCAGTACATGGGTGCTAGTGGACATTTAGTTACAAATTAGCTACATAAGTGAAAAGACAATGGCAAGAACTAAAGTTAAAAAAAAAAATCACAGGAGGGTGTCTATTTCAAGGTCCAGTCTTGTTTAGTAACTTACAAATTTTGATTTAGTCATATATATTTGACTTTCATGTAATTCTTGATGTCCAAGAGCAGTACCAAACACCTTTAACAGCCTGCCAAAATGAGTTGGACCAAGGCAATCTGAATGCAAAGGCTTCATATTCTGGAGCTGGCTGCAGCTGTGGCTCTCCTAGAGGAGCCATCCAATAATGGCGTGCCTTCAGCCAAATTCAAGTGCCTTTGCAGATATGAGTAAATTAAATAGGGAACACTCAAGAGTAAAGTATTGTAAAGGAACAAGGGCATGATGTCTAAACATACTATCAACTCTTAAAGGCTCTTTCTGAGCCACCTAGTTAGAAATTCTTCATCGGCTGACTTACAGATGAAATGAGCATTTGAGAATAATACACATTTCATTGCGAAAATACGTGAAAACTGATACTGGTTTTTGTCCTTAAAGAGACCATTAGCATGTTGCAATGCTAAGGAATAGAGACATCAGGCATCTGCTCAAAGGCAGTCAATGAAATCAGTGCAAGAAACAAGTACAGAATTAGTCTCTTGGCAATTTCAGCTGACACCTTTAAATCAGCTCATCTACCCTTTTTGTTCTATTTTTTCCCCCTAAGGATTAAAAGGACTTCAGTCTCCAGTGTGGTCAGTCTGGTAAATTTCATGGCACTAATTATGACTTTTAAAAAGAAAAACACAATGTAGAAAAACAGAGTAGATTTTCCGCATTAAGCGTAATTGGCACCATCAGTGAAGAGTCAGCACTTACCCCGTAATGGTCAATTCAACAAACACGTCTAAGTGCCAAACCACAAGTCCTTACAATTCTGTAAACTCAGTTAATTGCTTCTTTTCGGGTTGAGATCAGCCTTATTTTTATGACTGAATTAAACTTCCACATTAAAAATAACTTAGATAATTTCTGTTCCTTAAAATTTTACAGATGAGTTGTAGGCCGAAACACAAACATTTTTTAAGTACATATTGAAAAGCAAACAATATAACAGCGACTGTATGTTGCACATAGCTATTCTGGGCATAAGCTTTACCCTGCTCACTGAAATAACTTCAAATCTGGTATAATTTAGCAGAATCCACCCATCTCCAGTTTATTTTCTTGATAGAGATTTACTGCAGTTAGCCAAAATCTTTCAAATCTTCCACAAAAAAAAAAATTATTATCCATTTATGAAAAAAGTGAAGGGTTTTTTGACTGGCAATTTATATTTGTAACTATATTTTACTTCGAATTGCTCTTCCCAGATAATGGCTTTATACTTATTAACATAGTGAAAGCAAATGTTGCTGGCAGACCTTCTCCTGCCTTTTGTTTTCCCACCATCCATAAAGCAGCCTTCTTCATTCCCATTTAAATGGTTTTGGAGTTGTATTCCCTATGCAAAACAAAGGAAAAAAATTGCCCTACAAAATGTGATTTTATTTTTTGTTTGAAAATGTATGGTAGTGCCATTCCCTTCTTACTAGTTCTTTGTTTTACTAAAGAACGAGTTGACCAATGGAGTTAGGTGTTTTCACCTTGGAGAACAGAAGGCTCAAGGGGGATCTCATCACAGTTTTCCAGTTCTTAAAGGGTGGTGAAAGCAGAGAGGACAGAGGGTCTCTTTAGAAGGAGCCACATGGAGAGTACAAGGGGCAAAGGGGATAAGTTGCAGAGGGAGAGGTTTAATATCGATAGAAGAAAAAATTTTTACAGTGAGAACAATCACTGGAACAATCTCCCCAGGGACATGGTAGAGTCCCCATCACTGGAGGTTTTCAAGATGCAACTGGACAGGGTGCTAGATAATTTCATCTAGACTTTAGCATGAAAGGTTGGAGCAGATGATCTTTTGAGGTCCATTCTAATCTGGGCTGTTGTATGATTCTGTGAACTTAACTGTCTACTTACCCCTAAAATCACAATCTGCATGCCTTGCTTGCACAAGTAGTTCACAGCACTGGTAGATGAGGTGTGCAAATAGTCTTAAAATATGTGAAGCAAGGTCTGCTTTATGTTGCTCTAACAGGTATGTTGCTGATATCAGAATTAGAGGGAGATGGTAACTTTCAGTGCAAACACAGGCATTATTATTTCTGCATCACAAAACTGCATATCTTTACAAGAGCTTTGTAACAGGACCCTGTGGGGGAGTTTTAAAAGACAGTCATAGTAAAACCCTGGCACACTGGTGCAAAGTGGACAGAAGATACTGGAAATCCAAATTAAGGTGACAACTGTTCACAGAAATTTAGGGCTTTTCCACGGGAAATCCTAGATTGCCTTGTCTAGAACTGGAACAAAAATTCATACACTTAGAAGATTTTACAGACCCAAATATTTTCAAAAGTTTTGTCATATGAATAGTTCTTGCTCACCATCTGTCAGGTTCACTACTATCTGGCAATTCTGAGTACTACCCAAAGGCAGCATTTAGGGTGATTTGCTTCCTGAAGATTTTCATCCAACCATCTCCAGAGAGCTGACTTTGGACTAAGACCGACATGCACAAGACATTTTTGTCATTGTGGATAGTTTTTTCCACCCATGCAAACTGAGAGGATAAAACCCATCTTAAATTAAATTACTGCGGTACTGGTTACATATGTTAGTAGTTTGAGTGTTTGTTTAATTTTATTGAATATCAACATAAGGAACCATGTTTTCCATTTAGTTTAAGGTTTCTTCTATTCCAAATTTCACAACAACCAGATAATTGGAATAACAGCCTATCCAGTATTGCAGTTCTGATTTGACAAATAACGGTTAAGCTTCCATATCAAATAAATACAGAATGGCGATCCTTCAAACTCTGATAAATATAGATAGGTGAGTGTTTTGTAGCTGACAACTGAGAAATACAATATCACACATAGGTCTCTTGCTACGCTCAACTCTATCTTCAGGAAGCAAACATATGATACTCTGGGAAGTTACATAAAACTGGAAGCAATTAGCAATCTTTTTCATGTAACCCATCAATAAATTCTGAACTGGCTACTTCCAAATATCAAATTATGTATTTGCAATAGTTCTTCATTATTCAAGTCACAATTTTAGACACAGTGATTTTACTTTTTTGCTGGAATTCCACAACGATCATATTTTAATTTCTAATATGACAGAAAACCACATTTTAAAATTAAAAACCCCAAATAAAACAGCACTGAAATAAAACATGAATTCCATTTCCAAAAGTCTGAAATAGGAAGAGGAAAAATAAGTATTTTTGATCATGCTTTAAAGAAGGCAGACTATCTCTCCCCTAACCAAAAGATAATAGGAACTTCCACAGAATATTTTTGTCATTCAGCATTTTCTACTAGAAATCATTCCTTTCTGGAAAATTTCAGATCATGTAACAAGATTCCTGTAAATCAGGGAAATAAATATCAGATACACACCAAACTGCATTTGCTGTTGGCTGCACAAGAAACCTGTGGCAGAGCTTGGAACCAGAGCTTACTTCCACGTTCCAACCCAGCTGACTGAGCAGTGAACTGTTCTTACCACACTGATTTTATATATAGCTCACTTTCCATTTAAGATGCTATAAAAGGGGCCAAACTTAAGAACAGAAATGCAGCTCTTAATAACAGTACAAGAGCATATTTCATTAATTCCATTTATTTTTTATATATTGAAAAATTCTGTTAAGAAAACAGCATGTGTTTAACTATTTAGAAAGACACTGAGTAAATTCCTCATGGAGTAGAACTTAAACTCATTTTCTACTAATTAAAGCAGCTATCATTTTCATCATTGGCCATCATCAACCAAAATCCTCAGATTCTTAGCAAAGTTTTCTAATATTTGATTCTGTTTGTTTTGCTATTGAAATTATACTGGTCAAATGCTGTCTGGCCACACCCACTGCAACAGAAGATAAAGTCAGATTCAATCTTTTCAAAAGACAAACTAGAATTTTCAGACATGAAAAAAAGAGAAATTACCTGGGTCTTCTATAGACAAGTTCTTCGTTAACCATTGAACAATATCTGAACCTAGAAACAAAACAGCAGGCATTTTTAAATTAGTAAATTTTCTTTTCCTATTCTTCAGTTCCCTAGGCCAATTAATATTGTTCTACTGTGTAAAAGAGATCTATTATTTTTGCTCAGTTTGTCTAGAAAAAATTAGACCATTCTTTTTTTTTTTTAGTTTCCTTTTAGTAAAAAAACATACCAATCCTTTGCTTAGGGCAAGACTCATAAAATGTAATAAAAGTGCATTAAGGGTATGAGAATAGCTTGCATTTCAAAAATTACATTACTGCAAAATTTACATAGAAAAATAAACACTTTATTTAGTTAGTATTAAGTTTCCTCACCTTCCAAATTAGTTTGCAAATGAAACCTAGAAAATGTAAATGCAACACACATTGTGATTATGCAATCTATAGAGTATATGCTGCAGGCCATGCTGGAGGCTTAAAAACCTCCTTGGGACTAATACCTGGCATTCTGAGCTCCATTTAGGAGTGCAGTTTGTGTTCAACTTTGCCTTCTGATTTTATTATCTTTAACTATCGCTTCTGCTGTAGTGACTTTCAGCCCATTCCACTGGCTACCAGTAAAAGCATATTCAGTTACCTAAACACGAACTACCAGTGTTTCAAACTCTGTCTCATGGCTAAGCTCTTGACAGAATCAATTTTTCCCCTGGCACTAAAGCTCTTTCCTTACCACTTCAGTCTCTCTTCTTCTGTATCCTTTCATTTACTGCCCATCCATTTCTTAGTATTTAACTTCTTGTCCTTATTTTAAGGTGCCATGTTATTGCTTGCCTCTTAACATTTCCAATATCAGATTCCCTGCTGTCTTCTGAACTGAGTATCCCTCCAACCCACCTCCTTACTCCTAACCTCCTCTGCTCCTCCATGCACTCTTCCTATCACGCTTTACACTCTATGTGCCAAGTCACAAGCTGAAGTCACTCGTGTTTCGGACTGAAAGCTACAGTTGGATTTCACCCATCGTGAGCATGAATTATAAAATAAATTAAGAAGCAGTTCTGCAGACAAAAAGACAAACACATTGATGATTTAAGTAACCAAATTAGCTTAAGGGGAAAATGTCCTGAAACACTGAGAGGAAGTTATGTGTGTGTTCTTCATGTTTCATGACAGTTGCATCAGGCCTGCAGTTCAGACAAGCAACATAATAGAGAGATGTCACATAATACTTCCTTATAGAACCAATATTTCAGTTGTTCATCCATTTCTCAGCAGATAACATAATTATTTTATAAACCTTAAATTTAAAAAAGATAAAGAACACAATCTACACAGATATAAACCAAATCAAAACAATAAAATCTCATGAATGGAAAATAATATATAACATTAGAATCTGGAGGATATTTCCCCTGTCACACTCTAGATTCAGATTTCTTCCTTCCCATAGTGCATAATTTCCCTTGATCTTCTTAAGGCAACAAATATGATATTTTGAAGAAGCATTTCAGAGAAGAAAGATTTATTTCTCCTTACTTTCTTAATTTTCGATAATATAATTTCATAACTTTCATTTTATTACACTTGGTGAATACCTTTACCATGTATTTTACAAAGCCTAGTTGATTATATCATAACTTTTCATGTGTGCATGCATTATTAAATTCAGTACATAGCAACGAAAACTGTGGAAATACTACAATCAAGTCCAAAGCACAGATTTTCATTACTATGTTACATGTCTAAATTTTAATAGATATTAAACTCAGGTGGCACCATTTCTCATAGCGTTTACACAAAATTATTCCTTAAATGAAGCAATTTACCTTTGCAAGTTGGATGAGTACAAAATGTTTCACTTAGATATTCCTACCTCAAAATATTCTAATTTTATGCATTTTTATAAATACAGTCTCTGTCCTTTATTTATAGATATGAACTTAATAAGCCTGACACTGAAGGAAGAATTTTAGCTTAGTATAATGTGAAAATTCATAGACTTAAATGACACAGTCCAAGACTAGCTATATTTTTGTCAGCTGACTAGAGAAGTTAGTCAGCCCTAAATATTTTCATAAATCTTCAAAAGTCAGAGAAAAAAGTAATTATAAGAAAAACATGACATTTTAAAATACTGATTCTTTGGTTTGTTTCAGATCTCTCAGGTACCACATGGGAAGAAATTTTCTATTCTTTTTATCTCACCTTCAAATACGTCTTTTCTGTTCACCTCTTTTGAAAACTTTCCTACAGTGACACACCGTATTCCTCAGGCCTCGGTTCCTGTCATCACACTTGCATACGTAGTCTACACATCAGAAATTTCACCTCCATATGTTACACTCTCTGCTGGCTTATTATAAATAATAGTGGGAAATGGGATTTCTTGACAATTGCATCATCTGATTCTGAAAGATCATTACTGTTCTATTCACACTTTACATTGAAGCCATTCCCCTAGCACCCAAAAGCCTGAAGAGCAGTTTAAATCAGCTATCACATTCGAACACTCCGATGATTTCAGCTGCATTACTTCAATGACAAAAGCCCAGATGAATAAATATTAACATGAACGCTCCCCTTCTAGTGTGAAGGCTATCCAGGTGACACAAAATTGCAAGTAATCTGTCATATCACAAGTGAGAAATTTATCAGTTCATATCCTTTTGGGAGATCTTGTGGCCAGCTCTAGTCCTAAAAAGAATACTAAAGGTATTGTTTTGCATAACTTGCTGTGTGTTTCTTTAGCTGCTACTTTTAATGTCTAATCAAAAAAATGTTTTCATTAAATCATTCCTGTGCCCTTTTCTAAGGTTTATTATTTATGCAAATGTGTTTCTAAAAGCAAAACCATTACTATAATTTCTTATCTCAGGAAAAGAACAAGGCAGCAAAACAGGTTAATTCTTTACAGGAAAACAGTATTTCCTTTGAGTCCTAGCTTTGAAAATCTGGTGACCAGTAAAATTCATGTCATTTTTCATACACCACACTTCACATCTATAGGAATTATGATCTGATAATTAAAATGAAAAATATTACAGATTTCATTATTTGTAAACAAGAGCTATACTTATAGGATAAAACATCTTCAACCTTCAAATTTGAATCTATCTGACCACCAGCAATCTATAAAAAAGACAAACTAGTCAGATGATACTAATTTTATGGAAGCCACTACCTTGGCATTTGGACCCTGCTGAAAAGGAAAACTTCAGCAATCCAAAACAGAAAATATTTGCTGTATCAGAAAGATACTCAGTTTTTATATACTGTTTAATGTGCCATTCACTGGTAATGTGTGATAACAAAGCCCCAGTAAGGTTTTCAAAGTAGGCTCTCAAGCAAAGTTCTCCAAGTCTCCCTGCCTCACTTCCAGAAGGCAGCTAAAAGGCAAGCTTGCTGTTAGATCTGTAAGGTGTAGAACACTGAAGTTAAATCGCCCACTGAATTTTGAAATCTCAGAAGAACCCTAAATTGTCATGCCGATTTCAATAGCAAATAAAACTGGACAAGGCCAGCATAAGCAGAAAATACTCAAGAAAAGGTTTCTTTTAGACCTAGAGCTTGAGAGTCAAGAGTGAGATTCCTTAAATGCCAGCATCTATCCAGATAATGGTAATAAAATTCGCAAGATCTTACTCAAGACCAAAAATATGAGAGACCTTCAACTTCTTTCAAGAAAGAGGCAAAAATATTTCTATATTCATATACAGACTGAAGCATATTCTTTGTAAAATGTACTTGCTGAAAACTCCACGAGTGATTAATTTTAAATTAAATGCTCCAGAAATAGCAGTTGTTGAAGCTGTCACAGCATTTTAAGAAAATATTTTTGAGAAAGTGTGCTCTCTGGACCCTGCAATGCTAATTTCCAAGTCAAAGTCTTAAAGGCTAGGGCAGTGCTAAGGTTAGCTTTCAACAACAAACTCCTCATTTTAAACTTTACAGAGTGCATTTCAAAAAGGTATTGATTCTGACCTACAGAAAATTTCATGGGAATGACAGATCCATTTTTTGCTATGCATAACGGCAATGATCCCTGTAAGCCTTGATATGACAACAAAAAGATATGATAGTAGTTCTGCCAAAGAAAATCAAAATTCAAAATGCTCTATCTTTTTAAGAATTCAAAAGCATATTTAGCTGAAGACGATGCAAGTTGCAAGAAAGAATATTTCATAAATCAGAATCACAAAACATGAGACCACTGAGAAACTTAACTCAATGATTTCTTATTTCATAAGGAGAGAGGTTCAACCTTGCAAGAACTCATTCTTTTACTGCTAATTTATTGGTTTTGTAACTAAAATATATTATCTTTTTTTTTTACTTGTAGACCTCAGAGTATTTACAGATGATGAAGAGAGGCAGGAACACAGGATGCTCCCCTGCATTACTGATACCAAGAGAGAGGGTTTGGCTGTTGACCATCCAGCAAACTCTTACTCTATCTTCATCAAGACTTTTGCCATCTGAACTCTCAAGAGTGACCTAACCATAACAATGTTGGTACTGTGCTGCAAAAGCCAGAAAGCTGGGCCTGTTAGGTGGGTGCTTGTTTGCTGAAAGGCAACAGCAGATCATCTGGGACCTCCCTCAAGCGAGCCTCTTGGTCAGCTGGGCCACCTTCAGCAACGCACCACCACCCTGTCTTGAGAACCTGAAGAATTTTATGTAAGGCAACACACAGTAGGGAAAACTTAATAAACATTACTCTAGACAGTACCAGTTTCTAAATCTGAGACAAGACGACTGTTACTAAACTATTAAGGAAAAAGCATTGCATTTCCATTGTTTTGGTTGTTGGGGTGGTTTTTTTGTTTGTTTGTTTTTTTCCATTGGGAGAGAAGGGAATTGTGCCGTTTCAGCTTCCATCTTTCACACCATTGCTTGTCACACTACTTCATGGTAATACATCAGGAAATTATGTTTAGTTACTGATACATGCTTCAAAATCCTTGGCCATTAGTGTCTGAAAAAAATGTAATGTCGAATTTCATCTCTCACCACTGACTCAGGTATTGGAAACACTGAAACTGGATCAGA